ATAGAGATGGAAATAAAGAGCGAAAGGGAGAGGGAGGATGAGGGAGAGAGAAAGAGAAAGAGAAGGAACGGAAGTGAAGCAGTAAGAGAGAGAGAGAGAGACAGAGGCAGAGAGAGAGAGAAGGAGAGAGAGAGAGAGAGAGAGAGAGAGAGAGAGAGAGAGAGAGGGGAAAGAGAGGGGAAAGAGAGTGAGAAGAGAAAAGGGGGAGGGGAGCAGTCCGTCTTACTTTCTCTCACAGTAGTGTGGTGAGCGTGGCGGTCACCGCTCACACAAAGTAGAGGCTGCCGTCTGTCCACACAGGTTGCTGAGGTTCGAATCAATAATACCGTTTCACACTGTATGCAGGGCATCTGTGAGTAACGTGCAGTGTGTAACTTAGTTCTCGCAAAAAAAAAAAAACGGAGTTAAAAACCCTGACGTTCTAAGAGCGTGATCTCTTCGTTCATGGTGTACACGCAACGCTTGATAGAATTACAATTTAAAGTTCTGTCTGCTCAGTACCTAATCTTGAGAAATTTGACGAAAAAAGTTTAGTTTCACAACATGTAAAGTTTTTTTCAAATCCAATTCTTTTTATAACTTGATAGCGACTCCGAATAATCTTAAGATTTTGAAAGAGCAGATAGAGGCTTTAATTTCTGATATCAGGGTCTTAATAACATAAAACGGTCAAAAATGTCAGATGGAACTTTTTAATTCTAAGGAAGCGACTAGTGTTCTGGCCCTTTAACGATGTTATTTCACAGACGCCCCAGAGCTCAATAGAACTGCAGCAGCATCCAACTTACAAATGCCATCCGTGGTATAGCGGCGCTTCGTTCTGGCACGCATGAGGCTCGAGTTCGATTCCCTAGTGGGGGGAACTTTAATAGATTATATCAGTCTTTCTACTTGGATGTGGTATCCCTCTGTGCCCCAGTTGACTTAGACAGTCAGGGTCAGAAGACGCCTCATATAAGATCTAAATTTTGTCGATGGCGGCTTAAAAAACACCTACATTTAAAGAAAAATAATACATGCCCCAGCGACCATCTGAAATGACAAACAACTGAGCTAACGGCCATTACCGATATCCTCCCGTGCGTATTTTTCACGTAATAACGATGCTGTATAAGACAAGGACTTATCTTACATGGCAACTTTTCTCTTCGACAGAGTCGTGGCCGTCTTACAGAAATTCACTTGTATTTTTTCTTCTTCTCTACAGCTAAACATTTATTCCTCAATGTATACACAAAAGTGCAGGCCCACTAACGCCATTACGGCTCAAACGAGCCCCAAAAGGCCGTACCATCAACACAGCGCTGATCCATGCGGCCGAGAGGATGAGGGTGAGTCCGGCGGTGGTCGGGGTCACTTAATGGCTTGTCCAGCTAGACACGCCCATCCCCACGGAATCAGCTGACTTCCGCCCAAGGGGAAGCAATTTATTCTGTCCCGGCTATTAACTCCCTTCAATAGCTGGTCAGATTTTCAGCTCTGACCAAACTCACAGAGTTCGAGCGTGAGATAGATGGCACTAGCAGATTTACAGTTTTCTAATGAGTTTTATTTCTTCTTGGACATTTGGTTGTTATTGATGAAGAAACTCGTAGCTAAAACTAAAATGTTTGCTGATCTCGAGTCATTATTTGGTAGTTTTTTTAAACATTAAAAATTTTTATTTATTTTTCATTATTGGGTAGCTTTTGTTGTTGGTGTTACTATTGCTCTTGCTGTTGTTGTTGTTTCTGTTGTTGTGTTTGATGCTGATGCTATTGTTATTGTTGATGTTGTTATTGTTATTATTGTTGTTGCTGTTGGTATTACTTTTACTATTGTATTTATTGCTGCCTTTGCTGCTGCTACTGTTATCGATTTTTGAGGGTATATCAGCGTCTGGGATGTAATGATTACATTCTGCATTAATACCATGAACGTTTTACACTTTCTGTCTCTTTTCCACTTCTACGGTTTCGAGTGTGTCGTTCCAAAGTGGCTGAAGAAGCAAGTGCAGATTTAGTAAGAGATGGAAGGAAGAATGGGGATAAAAGATTTGACCTCTTTGGAATACCCCATAGCATTCACATGATTGTGAAATCTCTGTGTTACACAAGACAAGATGATAAATCGTGTCTTTGTTGGCTTTGTTGCTGTGTAATTCTAGACCTTCTCACTCGCCATAATTTATTGCCCATATATCTCTTACCCTCGCTGTTATTTCTCTTCTTCTTTCAATCTCTTCCCCCCTTTTCCCCCTCCTCTCACTTTTTTCTTTCCTTAGTCTCTCCTTCGGTCTCTCTCTCTCTCTGTCTCTGTCTCTGTCTGTCAGTCTGTCTGGCTGTCTGTCTGTCTGTCTGGCTGTCTGTCTGTCTGTCTGTCTGTCTGTCTGTCTGTCTGTCTGTCTGTCTGTCTGTCTGTATCTCTCTCTCTGTGTCTGTCTGTCTGTCTGTCATAGGGGGGATAGATTACTGAGTGAACGTTTGAAGAAAATGATCTGGTTATGCATTGTCAAGCAGTGATTATCCCTCTGCCTCGAATTTCCAATGAGGGACGAAGAGAGGACACATAAACTACCTAAATAGTAATAATAATAATAATAATAATAATAATAATAATAATAATAATAATAATAACAATAATAACATTAATAATAATAATAATAATATAATGACAATAAAAATAATAATAATAATAATAACAATAATAATAACAATAAAAATAATATGTATATTGATAAAATTAACAATGATAATGATGAATTTGACTACTACTACTACTACTACTACTACTACTACTACTACTACTACTACTACTACTACTACTACTACTACTACTACTACTACTTCCACTGCTAATACTGACAAAATTATATTGATAAAATTAACAATGATGATGATGAATTTGACTACTACTACTACTACTACTACTACTACTACTACTACTACTACTACTACTACTACTACTACTACTACTACTACTACTACTACTACTACTACTTCCACTGCTAATACTGACAATAAAAATGTAATAATAATAATGATCATGATAATAATATTAATAATTAATAACAATTACAGTAATCATAATCAAAATATTAAGAAGAAGAAGAAGAAGAAGAAGAAGAAGAAGAAGAAGAAGAAGAAGAAGAAGAAGAAGAAGAAGAAGAAGAAGAAGAAGAAGAAGAAAAAGAAGAAGAAGAAGAAGAAGAAGAAGAAGAAGAAGAAGAAGAAGAAGAAGAAGAAGAAGAAGAAGAAAAAGAAGAAGAAGAAGAAGAAGAAGAAGAAGAAGAAGAAGAAGAAGATTTCCGCAACGCCCACAAACTTACAATACAGCTCTTCATATTAACTGACAATTTAGGTGAATGACCGTGCAGACTTGTCAACGTTCTCTTCAGATGAACCATAGAATTATCAAGATGGTATTTAATACAATAATATATTATTATTCGTATTTTAAACTTGATTTTTACTTCGTAGTGAAGGAGAAGAAAGATGGCAAACAGGACACTTTTTAATCCTTTCTTACTAGGTACTCTCATGAGAGACTGATCTGGCCTTAAGAGATCTTGACGGAACAAACACTTATTGAATGACTTTGGTTAGATACAATGGGTTTATTGCTCACACATTTATATCAAAGGGCGTAACAAGACGTCATACCATCTGATCTTCAACTAACGCCAGGTTTAGATCTTTGGTCTTTGCACCCTCTGTCTCCTCCCGCCTCTCTTTCATTATACTAGTTTCTTTAATCTAGATCTAAACATTTCCATATGCAAACAAATCACCTAGAGTGTTCTGGTGACAATCGACTAATCACAATTCCAAATCAAACTTCTCAGTTTTCCCAATTTGGCTCCCGTATTGGGAAGGCAATCTGTATTTAATTGCTTACCGTGAATAAGTGATCTTCTTAAAGAGCTTGGGAAAATGAGTCTCAACTCACGGTGGCATGATCTGGAGTTTGAGAATGAAACAAATGAAGACGAACACGGTGAGGTAGATCATTTGTCCTCAAGTAGCATTAATATCTGCCGTTTAGAAGGGGCGTGTCTGTTTAATCTGAGGAAAGTGGTGAACCGGAGATGAAGTTAGTGGTGATTATCAAGAGGCCGGAAATATACATGATCAATTTTATCTCACACATACGACACCATTGATTGGATGACGTCACTGACACGTCTTCGATCTGCCTATAACGTATAAACAAAGAAAGGCTGTTGGGCTTGCTCTAACGACCATCTGCCCAATACAATCACCTGTACAAACTACAACTTCCCACTCCCCCTCTTTTGCCTGCTTTTATATTATCTTAAAACGATAGACAGAACAAGAGATGGGAAGGCAACATCACGGATTGGACAGGTTTAAAATTGGGTGAAGCCCTTTGACAGGTTGAAAATAAAGAAGTAAGGAAAAGAGTGGTTGTACGATCATTCTTGGTGCCCCAACGGTCATCTAAGAGTAAAGGACAAGTGAGTAAGTATATTATCTTAATAGGATTATGCAAGAAGTCCAACTATCAAAGACAATGTACTTTGTCATCAACAATGGGTGGTTGACTTGGGCGTCTCTAGTAACGCCTGTAATAAATGGCACCTCTGTGACCTAAGACTTTTACTAATACTGTTTCAGTTGTCTTGTTACACATATTAGAGTACCCACTGAAATATCCAATTAGTTGGATGAAAGAACACTTTCCTCTCGTGCCCCTATGATCTAGAATTCCCCCTACCACCAAAAGAAAAGTATGTTGTGTCATCAGAGAGAGAGAGAGAGAGAGAGAGAGAGAGAGAGAGAGAGAGAGAGAGAGGGGGGGGGAGGAAAAAGCCTGACATAAAGGCTGGAAGTTAGAAGGAGTTGGTATTGAAAAACCTTTGTGTCATACACGGGGAAACTACTATCTCTAATGTCTATACAGTGAGCCTGACGCATGTAGTTGTCTTCGACTTTTCTGTTTGGGTAGGCCCATTGGGGTCGAAAATAATATGGGCAAGAATAGGTGGGAAAATGTAGGAATTAGTACAGTTTTGGTTGTTTGAGTAAAGGGAAGTGCATTGACTAAATAATGGTAATTTAGTGCTGGAAAAGTAAAACAGATACAGAAACAATTTCTTTCCGGAAACAGAAATACTTCAGAAATATTGACTGACAATCCATTTACTGTACCTCTAGAGCGATGAAGGAATAAGCATCCACTCTGTGGTGACCAGTCACTTGTGCATCCATTGTGTTTTTTTCGTCCACTTTATCGTTCGAAAACGCCGTAATAGAAGCAACTTCCCTGAAAGAGAGACAGCATACCTTATTGCGGAAATATCGTGGAGGAGTTAACACTTTTGTTTGTTTAGGTTTCGTAAGAGTATCGTTGCGGCATTGCAACAGAATCAAGTAACCTAAGTGTAAAAGATAAAAGATGTTACAAAAACGTACACATTATTTGGGGAGAGTTATATGGACGATAAACGCCTGATGTGAAAGAAGGAACAAACCACACCAGGGCACCCGCCAACCACCCACATACCAAACTTAGATCTGGGGTCCTGTTAAGAAGCTGGAACGTTCACTTTAGGTCAACAACCCAACATGCTTTTGTTGTTTACACCCTCATGGATACAACTCAGCTGTTTATGGGTCAACCCAGGTTGAGAGGCAAACGACGTTCCAGCAGAAAGATCGTATCCTCTAACGGGATTCCCACTCAGGTCTTCTGTATGAGGCGTCGAAATACCTTGTTGTTACATCACAGATTGCGTCGGTGATGGTGATTCTGTTGTTGTTGTTGTTGTTGTTGTTGTTGTTGTTGTTGTTGTTTCAGCTGCTGCTGCTGCTGCTGCTCCTGCTGCTGCTGCTGCTGCTGCTGCTGCTGCTGCTGCTGCTGCTGCTGCTGCTGCTGCTGCTGATGATGATGATGATGATGATGACTTTGATGGTGTGATCCTTATAAAGCCCAAAAAGGCAGGACTTCCAAAATATGCTTTGTAATGTCGTAAAATTTCAGATACGCAAATCTTCTACCTTCTAATACTTACAACAATGATCGTGATGTCAATGATGATGATATTGATGATGATGATGATGATGATGATGATGATGATGATGATGATGATGATGATGATGATGATGATGATGATGACTATCTTTACAGTTTATAAATCTGCTACCAATTTTTTTCCTGATAAGTTGCCTGTTTTGCTGATCTTGTTTCATATTTATTTATACGTAAATGAAACACTTTTTTATATTATACTTGGAGTCGTTTTAGCATTGCCCTTCCTGTAAAATACTTCCTTATATTTGTGAAATATAACCTGATAGCCCATCTCACACATGAAATTTGAAAAGTTGCATGAATTACTCCCCGCACTATATCGACCTTCTAACCTTCTGTAAGCAATATACAGACTTGAATTATAATTATATTCCTAGATCGCGCAAAGTTATGGCAGCCGCTCTTCGTCCTCTGTTAAAACTTAGCTAAACGTTGTTGCAAAGCGCGCTCACCATAGGCGCCCAAATTAAGTGCCAAACACCTGTCTCCCATTGTCCCTATAGTTTAAAGTAGGCACAACTCTCTACGTTGACCTTTATTTTGTTCCAAATTGAATCATATGGTGCGCATCATAGAGAACTGGGGACTACGTCAGAGTGCAGCGATGTATTTTGTTTTAGTTGAATGCTAGTAAGTCATCTCTTTTTTAACGACAACATGTCATATAAAAGCAGTTTCTTAATGTTTCCACTTTTAAAACGTACGTTTTCTGCATGATTTGACTATGCTTACATTATTACTATTTTGTTTGGGTTTATCTCGCGGAAGGGGACATACGAATAGCACAACATGTAAATTAGCGTGGCTAAAAAATAAAGGAAAACAATAGAGATTTAAAAAATCCTCACTCTTACTCCAACGGACATGACAATTTTGTTTGCATGTGAGACTCTGGAATAGATCCTCTTGTCCAACTGGCTGGTCATTTGAACTTTGTTGGTCCGGATCTATTTCGCCAGCTGATATCAGTATGGTACACATTATATTTTTAACTGGTTATGGTGGTAGACCATAATTTTTCTTATTTGAGAAATTTCCAGTTGTAATCACTCGTTGAAACTTGTGATTAAAACTTGGCTATTCCACTCGTATGACAAATCATGATCTAACGCCATTACTCACGTAATAGATTACAGAGATACATAGAAGACATACAAACACTTGCGTACGCTGATTAATTTACTAGATATATTATCTTAACGCACAAAAGTACCTGTAGGTAGAGTCGTTAGCAGAATCCGTCTTGGACAGTATCAGCGACAAGATGGTGCTAAAGTTAGAGCCCTGTTCGTGCGTGAAAGTACAGTTGATTGTCAGCTGGTTGGTGAGTCCCGCGTGGATCTGGTTGTGAGAGGTTTCTATGTCTACCCCATGGCTAGGTGTAGCAAGAGCTGAACTCGTAGAATCTGTTACAGAGAAGCACTCAAATGAAGGGAATATGAAAGAGTATTTAATTGTAAAGTGATGATGATGATGATGATGATGATGATGATGATGATGATGATGATGATGATGATTACGTTCTTACTTTACTCTTTTTAATCATCATTATCATCACCTTACCTTTGACGGATCACTCTCAGTAAAGGTCACATAACCAGAATTGTCACTAGAGCCAGAAAAACTCTGACTGCACTGAAAATAATGGCGTGTAGCAGAATGCTGCAGATAATTTTAGCCATACTATACCAGACTCTTGTGCAGTCTGTGATAGACTATGGCCTCGGTCTCCTCACCTTGTCAACGTCGCAGCAGAAACACCTTGAAAGAATTCAGAACGAAGGAATGCGGACTGCACACGAGACACATCCTGCGAGGCTATGCGTTATCTCCTGAACCTCTGAGCCATGGTAGAACTTCACAAGATTGCTCAGATGAAAGCGTATTTGAGAGTCAACGACGATGATCAGCATCCGCTGCATGACAAAGTGGGAAGTACTGAACGCACACGTCTGCTAAGAGGGATTGAATGGATGAATGAGGCAGTGTCGACTTTGGCTAGATGCTGTGAAGTGCAAGACATCCGAAGGGGCAGCGCATGGGTCAGCGTCACTGACACACTTGGACAGTATACTCGAGTGATAGCAACCTTAGGCAGAGAATGTCTGAGTGGCCAGAGGGAGCAGCCAATGCCGAGGTGGAGACGTTGATAGAGGAGAACAGCGAACAGGGCAACGTAGTCATCTTCACAAATGGACCAATACAGCTTGGAGTGAAATTTGGATGGGCTTTCAGCACCCGTATAAACGGGCTCATACAGAGAGAGCTGTTGATCGTCGAGGGGAGATGCAGTTTTTAAAAAAAATAACAGGCCAGCTCTGCAGCTCTTTCTCTTGCGTGGTTTACCTCTTCTTTTATAGCCTTAGTGCTTGGTGTTATAGGCTCTCGAGGTTGGCTGGCGAGATGACATACGTAACAGGTGGCCAAACAATTTTATTCTGTTTTTCTATGAAATACAGGCAGGACTCAGGGCCAAAAGTTGCTCTTACTTCTTCATCTCTCTGACTGTCTCGCCTTGTGATGTTAAGGGTTTTGCGGAGACATATCATCTCGCAAGCTGTGATTTTGTTTTCATGGGTTTTATTTAATATCCAGGTCTAACATTTGTAGCATAATGTTGGTATATTGAAGTTATAAGCGGTCTCTCTGTGTCAATGGAGGTGTTTGGATGAGATAGAAGGGGTGCGAGCTGATAGGTAATAGTGTTTGACGAGGATGTTCAAGGGAATGTGGTTTCTGCTCACTTTCATAACTTCTGTTTTTGATGTGCTCATTTTCATGTCAAATTTCTTGCAGTTGCTGTTGAGGTCGGTAGTGTTGTTTTGAGGACATTGTTTGGATGAATAAGACAATGGTCGTCTGCGAATAGAAGTTCACCTAGGCTTTCTGATCTTTGGCTTGTGTCTTGCGTTATGGAGTCCATAATATAGATTATAAACAGGAGAGGAGATAAAACGCATCCCCGTCGTACTTCAGACTTTTACTTTTGAAAAACTATCTGTATTGCCTTCTTTTGTTCATACTGATTTTAAAAACTTTTTTGTATATAGAGCTCTATCATTGTGTAACAGTTGTCCTCTAACGCTGTACTAGGCAACTGGTGAGTTTGTCCGGTCTGTGAACAACGAGTGTTTGTCGAATTTCCTTTCTGCTATCTGTGAAGTGAAGAGCGAAACAGTCCGACATTTTTATTTTGTGAGTAGCCCAGAGTTTGTTCCGAAAGCATGGAAAATCACGAGTCAAGGGAAATAAGCTTGGAGATCCTAGAGGAGCTTAAAGCCTTTCGAAAGTACAGTGAGAACAACTTTTCTGAAATTAAAAATGAGATTAAGAACTTTAGAACAAAGTTGGAGCGCTTCGAGATAGAAATAGCTTCAATAAAAAATTCAGTTAGTGAAATTAAGGAACAGCAGCACGTGCAATGTCTTGACATAGAAGAAGTTGACTCGAAATGTGCTGCACTGCAGGATAACGTTAGTAGATTGGAAGGGGAGATGGAAAAGGCAGAAAGGTACAGTAGGAGGGAAAATTTAATGTTCTATGGTGTGTCGGGGGATGTGAGGGAGGAGCCGCAAACAGCAAGAACAAAGGTAGTAGAAATACTTGGAAAAGTGACGGAGAAAAGCTGGGAAGATCGTGATTTCACACGGGTGCATAGAGTGGGGCCCAAGAGGCAGAAGGACCGCCCCAGGCCTATTATTGCAAGATTCCAATATGCGGAGGACAAATTCCTTGTTTTTGGGTGCTAGAGAGGAACTAAAGGAGCAGGGGGTGGGTGTCGCCGGTGATCTTACACCGCGGCAAAGAGAAGAACTTAGAGACCTGAGAGCAAAGGGGAAACGTGTTTTTTTTTTTAATGGAAGACTTCACGTGGAAGACGTCACCCATACACAAACACAACACGGCCAGCAGTCACCACCACAGGACAACAGCCAGCCGCGCCGACCCGAGCCCCGTGGGCAACGACAGCAACAGAGGGTCACCCGCAGTCAGTCGGGGAGCGGTGGTGAGGCAACGGGGGGCAGGGACGGTGGGGTGGCCACAAGGAGACAGCAGGGTCAGTCTTTGGTTTCAACAGCAGCAAAAGAATAGGAACACGGCCGGCCCAGACTTGCAACAACAATAAATAACACCCAAGCAATGTTTTTAAAAATTATGTGTTGGAATGTTCATGGCATATCACAAAAATTGTTTAACCTTGATTTTGTCCACTTTTGTTCGTCGTATGACATTTTTGCTTGCTCTGAGGTCTACTCATGTAGTGAAGAAAAATTGCTCCTCGCCTTTCCCCAGTACAATATTTACTCTGCAAAACGTGAGCACGGGTTAGGTGGGGGTGTTGTTGTTTTTGTTCGTCGGTCGTTAGGAACCCAAGTCACAAAGCTAGAAATTTCTATGAAAGAATGTGTTTGTTTACTGTTGAAGGAGACCTGTTTACAAACAGATCGTAAAGTGGTCCTATGCTTCCCCTACCTCCCTCATGAATTTTCGCCTGTGCTTAATAATGAAAAGGTTAAAGGTGTACAGTCTCTTGTGAAGACATATCATGATATTAGCGATAAGTTAGGAGAAGTTGAGTGGATAATCGGAGGGGATCTGAATGCAAGGACAGGACGTCTAGATGATAACTTTGTTGAAAATAACGTACATGAACTTTTGTCTGGTTTTGAAGAAACAGATGATGTTTTAGAAGAAATTTGTACCCAAAGAAAGTCACGGGACGCTTCCTTTACAAATAGTTATGGAAAGCAATTAGTTAGTTTCTGTAAAGAAAATTCATTGTACATTGCGAATGGCAGGACACCGGGAGATGAGGAAGGGAATGTCACATGCATTGCTAATAAGGGAAAAACAATTGTTGATTATGCTATTGTGAGCAAGGGAATGTTTGAGAAGATCTTTAGTTTTTCTGTCATGCCAAGGCCAGACTCAGATCATTTCCCACTGTCAGTGTTGTTTAAAATTTACATTGAACATGATGACACTAGTGAAAATGTTGAATGTGAGATTGAACTTAGCCGGTTGTTGCGGCTCACGTGGAAAGAAACAATGAGAAGCACTTATGTTGAAAAGCTTGAATCATTATTAAATGAAGAACATGATATGTTTTTGTCATATTTAAGTCTCAATGATGTCGACTCTGCCTGTAATGTTTTACAACAATGCATTAAAATATCAGCAGGAGACATGCAAACCAATAAGCAAAAGAAAGGAAAGCATAGTAAGCTTCATCAACCATTGTGGTGGGATAACGAATGTGAAAGGCTAAAGAGAGTAAAATATCTTCACCTCCACGATTTCCACAGAACAAACAGCTCAAATGATCTGGATAAATTCCTTGAAGCAAAGAAAGACTTTAAGGAGATGTGTGCGTTAAAAAAGAAAATCTGTGATGTCATTTTGGCAAAATGTTAATAAAATGATGCGTACTCATGGCTCATTTAATGCGGCTAAGGCCACACCAGAGCAATTTTATTGTCATTTTAAAGACTTGCTAAATCCCAGAAATAATGAATCATCAGAGGATTTATTACAGACACAAGTTGATCATGAAGTAGTTTTAATAAATGAGGATTTAGACACAAATGTATACCTGTATGATAATGAAATCACGACTTCTGAAGTTCAAAGTGTTCTGAGAAAACTGAAGAAAGGAAAGGCTAGCGGATGTGACGGGATTGGCCCTGAATTCTATTCTAATGCATGTCCTTCATTGATAACATACCTTTGTTTGTTGTTTAATGTCATTTTTAACACAGGGAAGTACCCAAAAATGTGGTGTCAAGCACTAATACATCCTATCCTCAAGAAAGGAAGTCCTTCAGATGCAAACAGCTACACTTCTAAATATATTATCCAAGATAATGTCTAGTATATTGCATTCACGACTAGCGGAATGGGCCGAGCAGACCAATGTAATTCCCGAATCGCAAGCAGGGTTTCGTAAAGGTTATAGCACTATCGATCATATCTTCTCGCTTCAATCAATAGTCCAAAAGTACCCTTCACAGAAACGTGGGCGCTTCTATGTACTTTTTGTTGATTTTTCCAAAGCATTTGACTGCGTCCCCCATGAAAAACTGTGGGCAGTCTTGAGGAAAAGAGGCTTGAGAGGGAAAATGTTAACATTACTACAAAGTATGTACTCGGAAGTTATGTGCTCTGTCCGTACTGGCCAGCATGAAATTACGGAATATTTTAATTGCTTGTCTGGTGTTCGTCAAGGATGTATTCTTAGCCCACTTTTGTTCAATATGTATGTTTCTGAATTTGAATTGATGTTGAAAAACAGTGTTGTTAAAGGAGTTGAGCTATTAAGCAATGATGAACAAACCCGCAATTTAATGTACGCAGATGACATGTGCTTATTTTCAGATAATATTGTAGACATGCAAAGGAAGATCAATTGTTTGGAGAAGTATTGTAACCAGTGGGGACTGTCTGTAAATTTGGAAAAGACAAAGATGATTGTTTTTAGAAATGGAGGCGTGCTAAAGAGCTCTGAAAAATGGTTTTACAAAAAGAAAAGCATAAACGTAACCACGTACATAAGCTACCTAGGAGTGATATTTTCTTCCCGCTTGTTATGGTCAAAATGTATAGAAAACTTATGTTGTAAAGCAACAAGGCTCACGTCCAGAGTGAGATGTCTAAGTAAAAGATATGAGCACTTGAATGTCCAAACTTTGTTCAACATTTTTGACATCAAAATTAAGCCATTACTTTTGTACGGTTGTGAAGTATGGGGGGTGAAGAAGTATGATAAAATAGAGCAGGTGCACGTTAAATTCTGCAAGGCCGTCCTAAACATTGGTAGAACGTCCGCAAACATTTTGGCAATGGGGGAATGTGGACGTCATTATTTGTATGCCACTTATCATCTACGAGCAATAAATTATTGGTATAAATTACTGGTAATGGATAATAATAGGTATGCAAAGAAATGCTATTTGCAAGCGTATGCACATGACCAAAATAATCGGTACAGCTGGGCCACTGACATGAGGAAACTTTTATGTACAATAGGGTTTGGATATGCGTGGATTTTTCAAAATGTTGGTGATAAGAATATTTTCCTATCTCAAGTAAAGGAAAGACTTATAAATATTAGTCACCAGGACTGGCGTTCTAGGGTGTCTGGCGTTTATCCTGAGTACCTGGACTTCCACCCTACGTTAAGCCCTGCACCGTACCTCTCATTCACCATCTCTGCAAGAGGTAGAAGGATCCTTGCATTACTCAGAACTTTCAGTTTGTCGTTGAAAAATAATCTGTTCCGGTTGGGTATTGTCGACAGTAATCGTTGCCTCCAGTGTGAGGAAAAGTATGTAGAAAATGAATTCCATGTATTGTTCAGATGTTCACGATATAATGAAATACGAGAGCAGCTTTTACCAGAGTGCGTCAGACTTCAGACACCCGAAGGGCCAATGTCTAAGCTCAATGGCATATTAGTCTGTTCAGATGAAGTCCATTCTAAAAGATAATCTCATTCCTAAATTATGTTGTTATACGGACACGTATGTCCTAGGGAAAAGGTATTCACTCGCATATGTAACTCTGTATCTACTGTAATGGGTACTATTTTATATGTATGTGTATGAAAAAGACAATGGTATTCACTTCTCAGAGTGAAAGATGTCCCGATTTCTCTCGCTGCCTCATTCATAGCACTGTGTGGAAGTTCTATTTCTATTTGATCATATGAATGTATGTATGTATGTATTTATGTAAGTATATATGTACGTACGTATGTATGTATGTATGTATGTATGTATGTATGTATGTATGTATGTATGTATGTATGTATGTGTGTGTGTGTGTGTGTGTGTGTGTGTGTGTGCGTGCGTGCGTGCGTGCGTGCGTGCGTGCGTGCGTGCGTGCGTGCGTGCGTGCGTGCGTGCGTGCGTGCGTGCGTGCCTGCCTGCCTGCGTGCGTGCGTGCGTGCATGCATGCATGCATGCATGCATGTATGTATGTATGTATGTATGTACGTATGTACGTATGTACGAATGTACGTATGTATGTAAGTATGTGTGTGAGCTGGAGTGTGTATGAGTGTATGTGCGTGCGTCACGTGCGTGTGTGCGTGTGTGTGTGTGCGTGCGTGCGTGCGTGCGTGCGTGCGTGCATACGTGTATGTGGGCGTGCATGTCCAATTTATGTTAAACATCCAATGTGCTGCACCAATGTATGTAATTGCCGAACCATATGTTAAAATATGTGGATGTATGGGCCAAAGGCCTTTCAAATCAATAAATCATTTTGAACCTTGAATCTTGAATCTAACGCTGTACTATTAAAATTGTTTCCAGAGTTTAGCGTGGTTTACTCTGTCGAAAGCCTTCACCTGATCTTTGAAGACGATATTGGATTCCGTGTTGTGTTCAATGGTTCGCTGGAATAGCTGTCGTTATGCGAATACAGCATCATTCCCCCTCTTCCCTTTCGGAATCCGAAATGAGCTTCGCTCAGGTTTCTCTCTACTCTAGATCTTATCCACAGTTATAATATCTTTGTACTATGTTATCCCTGCATGGCGTAACACAGAGATGCCCCTGTAGGTTTTGCGGTAGTGCTTGTTGTTTTTCTTTTTCCACAATTGATCACTAAAATAGCTCTCTGCCAGTCTTCTGGGCATTTCCTTAGCTCCCAGGCCTTACTGAAAATTCGCCTCAGCCACAGTAAACCAGTGTTTCTACAAGTTTTATGGCTTCTACCGTGCTGTCATCTGATCTTGGAGGTTTGTTCTTGGGGTTGGTTTTGGGGTTGGTTTTGGGTGCAAATTCAATTTCTCTGGACAGTATGGGTGGATCTCTTTGCTCTGTATAGGTTCAAATTCTTCCAGCAAACGGGTTGAGAAGTTCTCGGAAGTAATTTTCCAACGTGTTATTCATATCATCCTTGCTGAGGCTGGCCTTACCCTCTTTGTCATTAATAATGCACGGCAGGTTGTATGGTTCTTTCCTTACCCGCATGCAGTTCACACTTCTATAAAAACTCTCATGCGTTTTCCGTGCAGAGTTTCTCATCATTTTCTTTAGCAGTATTGATAATACTTTTGGCCTCTCTTCTCACTTTCCTGTATTCTATATTGTCGACTTCGATCTTTGATTTCTACTGTTTCTTGAATAGATTTTTTTCTTCATTTTAGATGCTATTTGGTTTCATAATTCCACCAGCATGATTCTTCTTTTTCTTCTTCTCCTTTTTCTCCTTTTTCTCCTTTTTCTCCTTCTTCTCCTCTTTCTTCTCCTCCTCCTCCTCCTCCTTCTCCTCCTTCTCCACCTATTTCTCCTCCTCCTTTTCCTCCTCCTTCTCTTCCTCCTTCTCCTCCTCCTTCTCCTCCTCCTTCTCCTCCTCCTTTTCCTCCTCCTTCTCCTCCCCCTTCTCCTCCTCCTTCTCCTCCTCCTTCTCCTCCTCCTCCTCCTCCTCCTCC